TATATATATAGGCCTATAATATATATATATATATAATGCGTACCGGTATGTATAAAGTATATGTACCTCGAAATCGATTTCAGATACACATTATGTATCAACAAGAATACAAATACAAAGCTTTGAGTTCATTTAGTTTAGCATTTTAGTGGTCGTGGTCCTATGTATCCCTCCTCTATGGGCCACTATGAAGATCGAGGCCCTGCGGACTGCCGCACAAGAGCCAATGCGTTACGCCTGACCTTACAAAAAAAGTCGAGGCGAGGAACATTAAATAATTTCAGCACATATGCATCGCTTCTTGCTATCGATTTAATTTTGTTTCATTGCATTAGTCATACGTATCGCTTTATTTTTCAGAATACAGGAAATTACCAAAGCATATCGTAAACGAACGCAAGTCAGCAACAGACAAAATGTACAAGCTATGGAAGAGGGTAGGACTAACGATTTTAGTTATTTTGGCCCAATGCCTATGTACATTATGTCTACCACTTGGCCTGCCATCAAACATATCAATAGTACATTTTTGCCCAACTGCTACAGATGTAAAAGTCCCACCTCCAGCTTGTTTGAATAGTAATAAGCCTGTTCGCATCCTATACTACCAGAAAGATGGCAATAACATCGTAGCTTCCTACGACTTCAATAAAAATAATGCCGTAAGCACCGCTGGGTTCGGCATTGCTGATGACTTTTCTCTGATTGTCAAAACACCGAAAACGAACGACAGTTTTTCTTCAGAGTGCTACTATTATGCAGACGGTAGTGTTCGGGAACGACCCGTAATGCTTAAAGAGTATAAGCGATCACATGGTATAATAAATGTAAATGTATATGAAAAAAATGGAAATAATTTAACATGCAAAAGCAGCCCTTGTGAAACAAGTGTAGCAAAAGGATCCGAAGTTTGGTTGAAGTGTGCACTATTGGGCTTCAATTCACATGCAGATAGCCCAGGTATTTATTTCAATTGGACAAACAGTGAAGAGAAATGGATACCAAATGTGTCTGATCATGGAAAAGAAGGTGAGAGCGCATCGGTTGTGGCATTTGTCGCTGAAAAGGACAATAATGTAACGTGCAATATTTACGTGCCTGCATTATGTGGAGAGCCGAACCTAAAAAAGATCAATGTTATCGTCACTGTAGGGCAACTCCCAGGCATAGGTGTAGATATGCCTGTTTCAGAAGATGCAGTGAACTATACGACTTCTGTAGTTCCCAGTGTTGTTGCTATCGTTCTTTTATTATTGCTTCTGGTCTGTATTCTTAAAAGAAGACAACTACAAAATATATTTTACGAGTGTACGCGATAGCACATTGTCTTTGTAATTGGTGATTAAAGTCAAACTCTGGAGGAAAAATAAATCAGATAGACCTATGTGGTACTACTGATTTTCCTTAAGCACAAAAAGTATATTTGACGGGAACAGTTAATGAGGGCCTACAGATTTTTTAATATTTAAAAACTAAGAAAACGGTGGAAAAGGGGAGGATTACGGCCCTCCAATTCTCCCAGTTTTTTGTTTACATTTTCCCCTCCCCCCCCCCCCCCCCCCAGATTTT